ATTAAATAATTGTATAATTGACAATTTTGTAACATGATAATATAACAATTTGCTCTAACAAAGAAAATTTTTATGTGTCAAAATTGAAAAGAAATACTAATCGGACATAACTATATATACTATATATCGGAAATTCATGGTGGTGGCAAGTTCATTGTGCCCTTGGATAAATCCGGCACTGAAGATCGCGGCAGTGCTCCAGATAGAGCGTGCGCGATCGAACGTGCTCGGAGTTATCCCGACTGCCAACGTGTCGCGTCGCGTTCTATGGAACAAGTAGCTTTCGCGCGACGAGGATAGAACGACTGTGTCGAGAACGACTGTATTGACTACAGACAATTCTCGCGAAGACGGAGATGTCACTGCCGCGGAAGGGACAGGTGGGGAGTTGCCGCCGCCACTACCACCGCCACCGCCATCGCAACCGCCACCGCCACCGCCACCGCCACCGTCATCGCCACCACCGCTGTCTGGCGAGAAGGGAGGCATGAGAGGACGTCATCCTCAGGTTGGAGGTGGCGGCACGCAAGTTCAGGTTTCAGTCGGTGCCCGCGACTCATGCGGTACGAGTTTCACTCGATTACTACACGCTCGATTGATCGCGATTGCCGAATCTGGAGTAAGGTCGGGAACAGCTGATCAACGTTTTCTCGAAAATATAGAATGTATCGCGATCACGACATAAAAACATATATAGCGTACATTGTCAGTTGCGATTCGTGAAGCTATATGAGTGGCGCATAAAGTGCAAGATCAGTGGGATTAGTGCCTGTTCTTCGCTGTCAGCGCGAGGATTCTTCCTCGCTGTAATCTCCTCCCGCAAATCGCACGCAATCGTTTCTCGAATCCATTTTGAAACAGCATAAGATATTTGGATAACGCCTCAATCGACAAGCGCAATTTTCATGAAAAAAAAAAAAATAGGCCTTGGAAAATGCTCTTTCGGGGATCATCCCTGAGAAATGAAGCGGATGAGCGGCAATGCGACCCTCGAAATCGCTCGAGCGGACTCGCTATTTCACGGCGAATGGCTTTCGAAAGTCTGGATTTTTTCCTAGCGTATCATCGACCTCAACGCACTAGTCCTCATCGTAATCCTCCCTTCTCTGTCGCCGCCACGGCATTGCGGGCCCCTCTCTCTCTCTATATGTCGCACATTTCGCATTCCTATGACAGTTTCTTTGCGCGACCTTCTTGCTCCGGATAGACTCCCTTGGTGCGCCGACAGTGACGGCATTATCGGATCTGTCGTGAAGTTTAGCGGATTCGGCGACCGACGACAACGATACCAAATGCCCAGCGGCAGCGGCGAAGAAGCGAATGTAGCATTCGTCCGATCGATTTTCCCCGAGTGAAAGCTTAAACCGGGGAGTAGCTTGAACGGAAGTTTCTTTCCGCGTTGCTTAGGAAGATGGGTGTTCTCCTGGTGCCAGACGGAATTACGTCGCCGGTAATGCAATCGCGCGTGAATCTGAACGTGCGCGACACCGTCGTCGACATCGGCGTCGTGGCCGAGGCAAATAACAACGTGAGCGACCTGACGGACGTGAATAGCCTACCGCCGCCGGTGCCGACGCATGTCGTTGGTATAATCGACATCGTCAACGATGACGAATCGCCGCGACGTAATAGAGAATGGACGCCCCCGCCGAAGAAAAAATGGATACGGCACTACTTGCTCGGTGAGGTCCCTTCCTTCGTCCTGAAGGGCTTTATTCGAATCCAAATGAAGTTTGCCCTACACGTGCGCAGTGTGAAATTTAAAAAATTAATTTTTTTTTTTAAAGAAAGCGAATGAATTTTAATTGTTTATTAAATTGTTGGAGTTTGAAGGCATATTCCGAAAATATCATACACTTTTTCGTTCATGTTAAATCTTTATTTTACATGTAAAGTAAAAAGAGATTTATTCTTTTCCATTTGCGATAAATATATACTATTTTCAATATTTTTTTTTTTTTTTTTTT